CATAGCCGAGTCAATTTCTATATGTACACATACTGTTGCCATGACATGTGGATGATCCTCAACAAAGCATATAAATTAGTCCAGATATAAGAGAACATAAACCCTAAATGTAAAATATACACCAATAAATAATTGAGATATGAAATAATATATTTCCAGTATATTTGTTATTTTGTAGTCTCCCATATCTTCAATATTTTCTGATATTTCTAACCTTATACAAATATTTCTAGGTCATGTCCCAGGAGGATACAATGATTTTTACATTGCCTTGCAGTCTGATAAGTTGTCAGTCTGCATTTATTCAACTAATAGGGGTGTAGAGGTATGGGAGAGGGAGAGCCCTGACATACACTATCCAGCTTTAACAATATTTCATCTATCCCTACATGTGTTTAAATTTCAAACTACTTTTAAATTCTACTGGGACGTGCATACCATTTTTTTTTTTTTTCATTTTTGAATATAATTTATCTAATTATGAAAACAAACCATCGATTATGTTAGGATTTTTTATTTCTGAATGTACTTGAAAAAAATTATTGTTCAGACAAAGCAATAGAAAATTTAGTCATAACAGTAATTACTACATAATTAATGATCCATGTTTATACAAAAAAAAAACACTTAGATGTCCCTCACAAAACTAACCTGACACCACCCACAAGTATAATCATCTAACCCGTTTTAAAAAAAAAAACACACACATAAGACAAGATGACAAATGAAATCATGCTGCGCATACAAATGTCAGGCAAGCATGAAGTGCATTGTGGGTATTTGTAGTAAAACTTGCATAATGATTGAGTTAACTATTAGAAGCCGTCAATGTCATTGATGACATATTATTGATAATAATTAATATCCCTTAGTGGTAAGATACATTAAGTGTACAATTAGTTTAAACATACCCACAATATAATATAATAGACATATAAAGTATAATTAAACATGAAAAGAATTAATACATATCATGAATTCTACTAATCAGCAAATTAATTTTTATTTTTAATTTTTTAAGTACCAAACATAATCTAAATGAATTACCCTCTTAACAGTGATCGCCAATCCAGGGTAGGTTTAATTTATTTATTTGTTTATTTAATTGGTTATCGATGCGTTTTATTCGCACTGATTACCGCAGTGTAGCTATTGTACATGTCCCCAGCAGCAGATTATAAACGTTGATCCCAGTGGAGAGAAGAGCGTCATTGCCAGCATGCCAATAGCTATAGCTTTGATATCACTCACCGGCTGCATTTTATATACATCACTAACAACCAGAGTGATATAAAGAAAATCTCTTGCACGGTAATCCACACAAACACACACACACACACACATCCAAATCACTCAAACAACGTCAGAATAATGGATTCGCAATGTATCTATTATTCACCTTATTGACGAGAAAAGTATGTACTTACTGTGAGTGAACAACTGGGACACGTGTGATTCCTTGCCCTGCTGTTGAGACAACATTGTGTACAATTATTCTCTATGCTATAATAGTATAAATATAATATTGAGTATGGTGATAAATTACCACGTTACATTCCGTGGAGATCTCATCAGAGACGTCATCGCAAACTCCGCACTGAGATAAGTGTCCGTTTTTAAGCTGATTTTGATAATGGATTATATTTGACTAGAAATATCGGCAATACACACAGTGTCATTTCTACAGCATCATTTCAAAGACAATTAACCCTGTGTGGCTGAATTGTACCCATATGTACTATCAAATTTATGCCATTTAGAGAGAAGCCAATATCACAGCAATGCCTGAGCAATTCACTGTCCATGGAGGGATAAGTGAGGATATTACTGACAGGGAGAAATGCTGGTTATTGTTAGCATGACACAAAATTGTCAAAATAATTATTTATTATTTTGTAGTTTTTAAAATTTCATTTGTTTCGATGTCTGGGAAAAGCCCCGCTTTGTTTAAAATCACGACCCCCATGTTGCATGTTGCCTCCCACTCCCACAATCAAATGGTTTGGGCCTCATTATAGAAGCTAGTCATCCAGAGCAGCCATGACAGATATAATAGAATAAATTATGTCAAAACTGACACAGGAAAAGAGAAACAGTAGGATTCCAGCTTTTCCATGGGCTATCCTATTAAAGTCTAAGGGGTGGAAGGCCTCAAACTGAGGGCAGTATGCCGTATCAGGTCATGTAAATATGACAATATAATACTATGGATAACATCGCTTATTTGGGTAGATTTTATCCTAAAACACAGATTGATTTAACAACGTATATATATCAACTCCAAATGACATCATTACACCAGAATGATAAAATATTAAAGCTGTTCCCTCACAGATAGGACTCTAATTACATCACATCAGATTAGAGATGCATAATTGAAGAAGACAAAGCTGAGCATGTTGATGAATTCTACAAAAAAAGCATCATCTGCCTCAATGATTTCAAAGACCTCATCTTAAGCCAGAAAATCAAAAAAATATTTAATCTATATTTAGTTATCAATGTACAGATGAAATGACATGGAATGAATTGGATTATATCATTAAGTCTACTGCTATGATGCTAGTATAACGTATTGTTATGACTAATTAACCCAATGGGATATACTACAATTTGTCCCACCAAAACTTTGATGCAATACTTTGCCCTTTTTTTTTTATACTTTTTCTTAATTTGTTTCTGAATAAACATCTAAACGATTAGAAAGTTTTACTTATTTTTTTTTTTTTAATTTGACAGCAGAGCTTGTATTTGGCAATCAGCGGGTGGTTAAACCAGTCTAACCCTGTAAATCTCTAAATAAAGACTTGGAATAATTTTATGCAGAAAACAGCATTTTTGAGTGTCTAATATCTCCAGTTAATTGATTCCAAATAAAGTATCATAAAATACATATTCTAGATGTTTTAATCACAGTTGAATACCCAGGAAATAAATAATAGAAACTGAACATCAAGGATTTGTCTTTTTTGATTCAAGTACACAACTGCAAAATTCGTTTGGCGTTTTCAGATTTAAAAGTACAGAATTGTGTTAACCTAAATAGAATGGTTTTATTTGGGACAAGAATCTGCAGATATATCACCAATGATCTGCGAGCTGCTGTTTTAAAAAAATAAACATGTTTCAGCGTTTTAAATAACAGTTTGCAAATCAATGGCAATGCTTCAATAAATGACACAATACAATGATGAAAATAATTTAAGATGCAAGTACAGTACCTGAGCTGGAAATGGAAATTTTGCTGGTTCACCGCCTTTACTTGGTGTCTGTATAGCTGTCAGCAGTGGATCTATTGGATTGGTCATCTCCTACAAGTTGAGAAAAGAAAAAAATATGAAATTAAAAAAGATGACAGCTGCTGCAAGATACAACAGGAAATGATAATCATACTTGTGGTTAACACAATTGTTAACTTGAAAGCTTCATAAAATGTTGAGGTCTACAACACCTGTCAACATGATTAAAACAACAATTTCCTGCATCACTTAACCCAGAATCAAGCAATCTATCAATTTTTTTTATACAATATTTCCGAGTAGATATTCCAAACAAGCCAAATAGTAAAACCTTCTCTGGTTGGTCAAATGAATGTACTGTTTGCTGTGGTTGGTCGAATGAATGTACTGTTTGCTGTGGTTGGTCGAATGAATGTACTGTTTGCTGTGGTTGGTCAAATGAATGTACTGTTTGCTGTGGTTGGTTGAATGAATGTATTGTTTGCTGTGGTTGGTTAAATGAATGTACTGTTTGCTGTGGTTGGTTGAATGAATGTACTGTTTGCTGTGGTTGGTTGAATGAATGTACTGTTTGCTGTGGTTGGTTAAATGAATGTACTGTTTGCTGTGGTTGGTTGAATGAATGTACTGTTTGCTGTGGTTGGTTGAATGAATGTACTGTTTGCTGTGGTTGGTTAAATGAATGTATTGTTTGCTGTGGTTGGTTAAATGAATGTACTGTTTGCTGTGGTTGGTTGAATGAATGTACTTGTTTGCTGTGGTTGTTTGAATGAATGTACTGTTTGCTGTGGTTGGTTGAATGAATGTACTGTTTGCTGTGGTTGGTTAAATGAATGTATGTTTGCTGTGGTTGGTTAAATGAATGTACTGTTTGCTGTGGTTGGTTGAATGAATGTACTGTTTGCTGTGGTTGGTTGAATGAATGTACTGTTTGCTGTGGTTGGTTAAATGAATGTATTGTTTGCTGTGGTTGGTTAAATGAATGTACTGTTTGCTGTGGTTGGTTGAATGAATGTATTGTTTGCTGTGGTTGGTTAAATGAATGTACTGTTTGCTGTGGTTGGTTGGTTGAACTATTGTATTGTTTGCTGTGGTTGGTTGAATGAATGTACTGTTTGCTGTGGTTGTTTGAATGAATGTACTGTTTGCTGTGGTTGGTTGGTTGAATGATTGTATTGTTTGCTGTGGTTGGTTGAATCATGGAGCTAAAAAAAGCTCCATGGTTGAATGAATGTACTGTTTGCTGTGGTTGGTTAAATGAATGTACTGTTTGCTGTGGTTGGTTGAATGAATGTATTGTTTGCTGTGGTTGGTCGAATGAATGTACTGTTTGCTGTGGTTGGTCGAATGAATGTACTGTTTGCTGTGCTTGGTTAAATGAATGTACTGTTTGCTGTGGTTGGTCGAATGAATGTACTGTTTGCTGTGGTTGTTTGAATGAATGAATGTACTGTTTGCTGTGGTTGGTTAAATGAATGTACTGTTTGCTGTGGTTGGTTGAATGAATGTACTGTTTGCTGTGGTTGGTTGAATGAATGTACTGTTTGCTGTGGTTGGTTGGTTGAATGATTGTATTGTTTGCTGTGGTTGGTTGAATGAATGTACTGTTTGCTGTGGTTGGTTGGTTGAATGATTGTATTGTTTGCTGTGGTTGGTTGAATGAATGTACTGTTTGCTGTGGTTGTTTGAATGAATGTACTGTTTGCTGTGGTTGGTTGGTTGAATGATTGTATTGTTTGCTGTGGTTGGTTGAATGAATGTACTGTTTGCTGTGGTTGTTTGAATGAATGTACTGTTTGCTGTGGTTGGTTGGTTGAATGATTGTACTGTTTGCTGTGGTTGGTCGAATGAATGTACTGTTTGCTGTGGTTGTTTGAATGAATGAATGTACTGTTTGCTGTGGTTGGTTAAATGAATGTACTGTTTGCTGTGGTTGGTTGAATGAATGTACTGTTTGCTGTGGTTGGTTGAATGAATGTACTGTTTGCTGTGGTTGGTTGGTTGAATGATTGTATTGTTTGCTGTGGTTGGTTGAATGAATGTACTGTTTGCTGTGGTTGTTTGAATGAATGTACTGTTTGCTGTGGTTGGTTGGTTAAATGAATGTATTGTTTGCTGTGGTTGGTTAAATGAATGTACTGTTTGCTGTGGTTGGTTGAATGAATGTATTGTTTGTTGTGGTTGGTTAAATGAATGTACTGTTTGCTGTGGTTGGTTGGTTGAATGATTGTATTGTTTGCTGTGGTTGGTTGAATGAATGTACTGTTTGCTGTGGTTGTTTTAATGAATGTACTGTTTGCTGTGGTTGGTTGGTTGAATGATTGTATTGTTTGCTGTGGTTGGTTAAATCATGGAGCTAAAAAAAGCTCCATGGTTGAATGAATGTACTGTTTGCTGTGGCTGGTTAAATGAATGTACTGTCTGCTGTGGGTGGTTGGTTGAATGAATGTACTGTTTGCTGTGTTTGGTTAAATGCCTTCACCTTTTACAGTAATTAATAATTACAATTTGAATAATGTTTTAATCCAACAAGTTCTGGAGAAGCATATTCTCTATAATTTGAACCAAGTACACATACAGCTACACTTTGTTTTAGAGGTCCACTGTAAGTATTATTAATTATAATTTTAAAACTTTCATTGCATGAGCTAGATTAAATAGGTAATATAGCTCGAGCATAAATAGGTAATATCAAAATCAGCAGCAATTTTAATCTGAAAACGAAGAAATGAAATTCTATATTCATATACCAGTAATTTTATGCTATACATATTTCTTAATATATAATATTTATTCACACTGATGATCTCGCAGACCTGACATAATTTAATACCAAGATGATTCTCTTGGTAAACACAACAGTAGGGGATGATTTACAATCATCAGCACAGTAGGTTTTTCATGAAAAAAATAATAAATTAATAATACAATTCCCTGAAATAATCAAATTGGTATAAAATATCATTAAAAAAAAAAATCAACATTAAAAATTCAAAACACACCTACCGGTACTTCATGTGAAAAGACTAAAAGCCGTTAAAATACAACACTACAAGCACATCATTAATATTTAATATCATATTTTTGTTTCTTTATTATTTGGTTTGTATGGATAAAACGCATATTAATTATGAAACTCTTTTAATACAATCATCTTTTTAATCATTTTTCCATTCAAAACATTGCAGCAACAATTTTTTTTTTTGTATTTCTATAATTTCTTTGTTAATTTTGACAATTGAACATGATTTCCAATTGACTAATCTTGAGCAAAATTTTGAAAGAAAAATAAGTCATGTAGATTTATTTTGTGAAAAGTGCTAAAAACTGACTAGGTGACAGAATTATCACAGAAACCTGATTTTGAAACAAGAAATAATAATTTTACAAACGAAGTTGGTTGCTACAGGTCAGTTTGATTTAAAAATCATCATAAATTTGATGAACCAGACACACTTGAGGAGACTGTAATAAACAACCAAAGAATGACTTCTTGTCATTTACGATGTATTCATACACAAACTATATTCTATCCCTTCGGGGTGGTTTACTTCTTCTTGGATTGTCATGGCAAATCAATTTCTACGACAAGGTTTTTAATTATGCATAAATGCCTCCTCTGGCAAGATGCCGGTGTGTCTTTGTAAATGTATATATACGAGTGCCTGGTCGTGTGATAGCGTTTTCAATTAATACAAAATCCCATCCCTGTTGGATTAATTTCATAGCAACAAAGAGTGGAGTACACAACGAAGATGCCGCTATCATTAAAGCTGTATGGAGGTAACCACACTAATGCATTTCACAGCTAAAATATAATTATTTAACTTTTAAAAGATCAAACAAGAATACATTACATCATAATAAATTCTTCAAAATAAATACCTGCATTAGAAAAGATGTTTACTTCAGATGTAACTTTGTAAGTTGCAGGAACTTTGACCTTTCAACTCTGACCTCAGCACAATCTGAATATTGTATATTTCAGTATAGTTTTCCACTTTCATTTATGTTTTTACTTATTTTTTAATGTGAAAGATGTACATAGATCTGACCAATGCCCGTACAGGGTCTTTCTTTAAATCTTTCAACAATATGATGGTGCTTGTAATGCGAAAGCAAAACATTCTCTGATCGGTTGAGTAATTTACCCCAAAGCAATTTACGAATGGCATCTCTCGCAAACGAGTAACCATCAAAGCGCTCTTACATCATATTGTAAAGACTGGCCTAAACCCACGCGCAGTATTTACGTAACTTCACAAAAACCTGATTTGCTTGCAAATAATTTGAGTCAACAGAATACCAGATGAGTTAGATGGTAGCTGTGACACCCACTTTGTGCTAATCATGTCAAAATATATTTACACACATACCAAGTGTGATTTATTGATGTATACAAGCGTGTATTCCTTACACCATCTTTACAATAGGCTAATCACTGGTACATATTTCAAGCCATTTAACACAATACAAGCATGGATATACAATCACTTGATTGTACAATACCATATTTTACCTAATACACATTAGGCATCAAAAGATACCATGGAAACAGCAGCATCATTGGTATGTTTTAAGCATACCATATTTGGAAGTATGCAGGTCTGTTTAACACGCACTTTCAAAGAGCAGAGCACTAAAGGAAACATATTGTGTTGTGTTTACACTATATAGTCCAATATTTTTTACTTATAATATTGGGGTAAATCAAACAAAATGTTTAGCAATTCCATGTCATACTGTTATCTGAAATATTCTATGAATAAATAAATAATACAATGTTTAACAAGATTTTGCACATTTTAATGTACTTTTTTAATGTAGTTTTTACC